TGGAACTTTGAAATTGTAATAATTTCTTTCAGTGTAGGACGAATACTCAAATTTGCGTACGAATTTGGTTTAGACAGGAGACTCAGTTGTATCCAACAAAATCTCTCGTTTGCAATGGTATTATTCATCAAGTTTCAGCTGGTACGATATTCGAAATATGGCAATACTTCGTTCGAACGCAATACACTACTTAGAAGGTCGCTGAAAAATTACCGACAGCCGAAGACAGGTTTCGCTCTGCCGCTCCTTCATCCATCATATTGGTGCAGTCCGGGAGTTTCCGTCAACCTTGTGGTCTACTTCAACCCGAATTGCACGAAATTCAAAATTTGGTTTTGACGGGAAGTGAATTCAGCGGAATCTCTTGTTTTTGACAGTCTCCTTCAACTTCATCAACTGAATGTTCAAAACTGGACACGAGCACCTCAATAGTTCCCATTTTTCGGCTGTACTGACTTGAACCTCGGGCGTTTGATGTGCATGCTGAGTACGGAAACACTGCTCTACCAGCACACGCTAGATGTACCAAAATTAACGCGTCTAGATAGGCGAACGTGTCCATGCTTGGGTGATGCAACTGTCTTGTCCGACGTCTACAACCGCGGTAATTCAGCCTGTCTGTACTCGATTTGTTTTGGCGAATTTAGTTCGTTTCCAATGACCAAAACTGATCAAAGTTTGAAAAATGACCGAATGAAGGAGTAAACGATCCTCGATCCAGTGTTGAACGTTTCAAACTTCTTGCGCAATGACATCCTATAGTTTTGTGAGCCTAGCCAGTATCATCTATCGTTTGTGTCTGACCTATTCTGATGTCCACACCGCTTCACAGAGCTCACCTCATTTGTGTGCCAATACAGTCCATCCGTCTTACACCCAATCAAATGGTCGCCTGCTCCTGTTCCCTCCGAACCTATACAGCGGTCGTCTACTCTGGTATTCCCCAAGATCCTAACTGGCCTTTTGTTGTCTGTGTGCTCCTTTACCATCACGTCGCTCCGATCTCAAGGTCTTCGCTCTCGTAAGTATGATAATCGTTCAGCCGTAACACCCTTTCGGTGCCTAGCTCCCATGCCACCCAAACGAAGCACGAGTGCTGGGATACTACCAGACTGCCGAAGCCTAGACAGAGTAAGTCGAGAGGCGGAGATCGAGTTCGAACCACCGACCTTCTGGTCAGTAAATTCGCGCTCTAAACACTGAGCCATCTCGCCCCCTCCCTCGTAATTCACTGCACGCGTGGATTGGGCCATTTCTCGTGCTGAAGCAGGACAGCCCAGTAGTGCTACCGTATGTCGATTTTCGTACTAATCATGACCAAGAAAAGGCAAATTCCCTTTGCAGAAGTTTCCTCACAGGATAGAACGATTCCGGGGATCTTGTTGGTGTTCTCTCGAACTATCGTCAGGTGGGAAACACGGTCAGAATGGCAGATAAAGACGCCTCCTACTGTTCTCTCATTACCTGACAATTTCTCATACAAAAAGGTCACGTGACTCGGTGAGGCTCATCACTTAGGCGTGGCGAGAGGAGATAGCTGTACCGTCTTAGCATAGCAGACGTTGCCGATCAATAATGCAGAGTGGAGTAGCAATCGAGTGATGCATTTGGTACCATGGAACCAAAGGATTATTGGTTGTGGAAAGCGCCATATCAGATCATGTACGTAGAGCACAGTGAAAAGGAAGTGGACAGGGAAGGTGGGAACTTCAGCGTCACTGGTAGAAACACAGTTGAGTTGAGGGACTGATTCTTTTGAGACCTGGGCTCTTTGGCACATCGAGCTTCAAACCACGTCTGACATGCCCGTATTTCAAGTTTAGATCACGATCCAGTGGCCAGACTAGGAAACGCATGTACTAATTGTTAAACCGAACCTAGGGGATATGCGATCGTCTTAAGGGTGAATACAGATCCAACCTCCCGCGTGTAGCATACGGTTGACCCGAAAGCATCAGCTGATTGAACGGCCCAAACACAGTCACTTTTCTAACGGTGACGTTGGGTTTTCTAACTGATCCTGCCGAAACGAATGTAACAGAGCGTAGCACTTACGTTAAAATGTTACATTCAGACACGAGGGAAGACCAGACTGACGGATAGACAGTGTAAAAACCTCACTTATTAATTGAAGCTTTGGAATACGTTCTCGGTCTAACCTAGGCGATTTCAGGCCGTCGTTCCAGAGGCCAACGTAAGTAAAAAGCTTTGTTCAGGAGAAAAACGAACGCTAAAGATAAGTGTTGTTTGTAGATTTAGCTGTGGCTGTGACCAATATCCTACCCACATGAAAGCACGAGATAGTAGTGATTGAGGCGCAAACTTACTGTTAGAAAGGTCCGTGGTTCGAACCTAACCTCTGTATTTTGATTGCTCCTGTTGTGCTTGGGTGATCTGACAGTCTCTTATCTCTCGTGCTTTCTTCGGTTGGCATGGCATCTAGGCACCGAAAGGGTGTTACAGCTGAACGATTTCGAACCCGTATGAACAACAAATGTCAGGTGGAATTAGACCACAGGTAACCTACCTTGAGCCTCTGGATCTGAAAGCTGATTTACAAAGCGCAGTTGGGTGTCGAGTTCTCTACAGGAGCCAAATAAGCGGCTGCCGCCTTGAAAAAAATACCCCTTCAAAATTGATCACCATAAGGAGATAAGGAGTTTGGCCACATTTTAGGATGGTCCGTGACATCCTATCGTGCATAGCTGTCATTCAGTCCGAGAAGAGCATACAATCAAGGCCCCGAGACCTAGACAAGAGCACTTGAAAAGTCAGTAGTGGGTCCGNATAGCTGTCTCTCAGTCAGAGAATAGCATACAATCAGGGTCCCGAGACCTAGACAAGAGCACTCGAAAAATCAGTATTGGGTCCAAACTTCAGACTTCCTGATCAATAGCCTTGTGTCCCAAAGCCTGAGCTGTCTCGAGGATTGCGCAAAGGATATTGATGCGAAACCTCTTCGAAGGAGTCTTTCTTCAATGGTTCACTGCGGTCCAATCTGCTCTGAGAGGATTCATTGTTCTTTGACGTGAGACTCCAGGGGCCCCAGGGGGCATGGCAACAAACAACCCCGACCAGAGGATAGTCCCTTGGGCCCAGAGCAGCAGAAACCATCGGTGGTTGCTGTCTTAACCTAAAAGCTAATTCCAACAGAAAACAGTGATCGAACGTGGCTAGTTCGTATCCACAGTTTTAGTCGTAGGTGGATAAGTTTCTAGCCAGCATTTTCGTAAGAGACAGGTCCAAGTACCTTGCTGGGTTGAAGGAATGATACCCACGCTGGATTTCTGTTGTTGACGGTGGGCTGTTGTCGGCGTTCCATTCAGACTCCCTGAGTTCTTCCCAAGACTGTGTTGAAGGAGATCAGCTAAGTTGTTCTTTGAAGTGTCCAGTCCATCTCTCAAGACGACGAATTTAAGTGAACTGTGGTTCCGTTTTCTCCACATATCGTCTTTCTTTGGATGGTCTCCACATATCGTCCTTCTTTGGATGGCTGACCCAACTGACTGAAACAGGGCGCAATTACTGTTTTCAACGAAAGCCTTCTTCATCACCTAAGCTTTTTCAATTCATCAGTAACCTCCATCATTCTCCAAGGTCTTGATTAGCTGGTGTTTGAAGGATCTGTGTGCGCCATCATAGGCCTTAGTTGCTGATATGGCCTTTCTAACAGAAACAAAACCTGCTAACCCCGACGATATCCAGTATTTACTTGGTAGGGTCGAATGACCTGGTCAGATAGTTCTAGAAGCTGACAGCATAGCTTTTTGACTCGTTTCCATTCAGCCTGCAAGCCCTCCTCGTCATCCGCATGACTGCGCGCTTCCACTGGCCTTCTACCCGGATCAGCTTGATACATTCTAGATACTGAAACTCGCCGAAGTTGATGCATGGAGTTCAGCACCACCAACATCACCAGAGACAGCAACACCAGTGTTGACACTGGTTCTTCACTGCCGTACAACTACAAAGTTTATCTAATTATATTTAAAACAGTATAATAGAAAGAAGGAAACGTGGATTGGTGAGGGGATATGGTGCTGGCCTGTCACAAGCATTCTGAGCTGCCTACACCTCCAAACACTCAGTCAGACAATCTGGAAAGAAACTGACAACATGAACGCCACTGACGTCCACGAGCCGCCCCTCCTTGTAATGTCTCTAGTCAGGCGCAGGAGAGGTCATGGGGATCCAACCCTGGAAGGTGCACTGCACCAAAAAACATCCAAATTCTTCGTAATCGCCCACCCTTCTGTCCACTCCGCGATTTCCGCCATTCTGAAGAAGGCACAGACAATGGCCCTCATCTCGGGAGACGGTCTTTCGGCATCCCTTGCACATGACCGAGCCACCGCATTTGAGAAATCTGGATGTCTTCCGCGACTGAAGTATACAAACAAATACTCGTTTTCTAATTACGTCGTTACGAATTCGTGGACGCCATCTAACACTAGCAACACTTGTGAGGCATCTGTGGTCAAAAACGCGGAAACACCTCTCATTATCTGTCCTTAGAGGTCGCGTTTCGCAACCATACAACAATACAGCCCTTATTGTAGCCTGGCACATGCGACCCTTGAGGCAGTGATGAACGGTGTTAGTCAGCTTTGGCACGTATAATTCTGACGAAAGACGAAGTGATCATCGGGCTGGCACAATCGCATTATCGGAGTCAATTTGAGTACTCCAGGAGGAACGCCAATCTATAGAGGCTCTTCACATGGTCCAATTAAGTCCAGGACTGTTCTGAGGCTAGTGGTCTACAAGAGTGATGGTTGAGGAAAGCAGTGACCAGCAGAACTCTTAAGCTGAAAAAAACTTGGAGGACGAATTACTCGCACACATCAGCTTTGATGTGAGCCAGCAGAAACATCCAACACAAACGCAAGTAGGGTTAGAAAACCCGGCGTCTATTTTAGATCACTTCACAAGCAACTCGTGTAGCTGTCCTATGAAAACAGAAACATGTGTGCCGTGTCACCACATCCGTATCAACTCACGTGAAGACGATTTTCACTCCACCTTTCAGACCACTATCCCAAAGTCCTTTTCCCCGACCACCAGCCAAAACTTGGGCCTTGACAACGACATCTGTGCTAGGTGTGGTTTCCGCTGTGTGAAGGCAGGGAGATAAGTTTCGATGAGTGGTGAACATCGGTGAAGCGAAAAAGGGATATCCTCTAACACTATTAACTAACGTGCAGTGAAATAGAGAGAAGGGAAAAAATATGCAAAACCAAGCCTATTTCGTCAAGCGAAAGCCAGTTGGGGAGAGAGAAAGGTAACACACAGGGAAGCGAGCCTATGGAAGGATAGTCATGGGGTGTGTCGCATACAGTTAGCATTCATAACTAGGAAGTCAACTACCGATGGAATCCGGCCTGACAGGAAAGGCTCAAATATGAACAGAACAGAATGAGAGCCTCAAAGGAGGAAATACGGATTTTTGGACGTTGCCCGAGAAGCACGCCTATCCCGAGTAGATGGCGAACATCAAGCAGAATGGATGACCCATTGAGGAATACGGTATGGGGAGCTAGAACGAACAGTGACCAATCCGCGGATGCGTGGATCCAATGAGTACTCTGTTGGATTCGAAGCCACATAATTAAAAGTAGGCTCTGACCAATCCACTTTTAAACCAGCTGCGCCCAATAGGCACTTGTGTTAGATACAGTGTTGCTAGAAACAACGAAATATACCTATCTGAGTTCGGCTGGTAAGTTCCATTTCAAGTATAGCTCTGCATCAACCATATCCTCCAGGAACCGAGTGCAAACACAGACCTAGAGAGCACAGAACACCCCTCCGTCCAAGGCCACAAACTTTGGGGACTTCGTAATGTAAGTGAAGTCAAACTATGCTGAATAAACGAAAGACATTGTGCTGTCAGTGCTTCTCGGCTTTTCAGAACAGACTGGCTTAACTTACAGGACGAAAGATCGACCGAAATTCTTAAATCCCTTCACACCACCAAGCACAGCAGTCTCCATGTTGAGAATGTCCAGAGGGTTAGAGTCTTACGATTCCTCCGATAAGCATATTTCCATTTGTTCTGCATATAATACCAGTGGTCATTGTTATAAAGAGCATGAAAGGCTAATCAACCGAATTGGCGGATGACTCATATTTAACCTCTCAGTGTGACCTGGAACTACAACAAAGTGATGAATCACACTAGATGATCAATGAATTAGGAATAGCTGTAGCTTCCCCACTTTGGAGTGCCTCCAAATCCGATGTTTCTGGCTTTTAGTTCATCACAAAGTGATGAATCACACTAGATGATCAAGGAATTAGGAATAGCTGTAACTTCCCCACTTTGGAGTGCCTCCAAACCCAATGTTTCTGGCTTTTGGTTCATATAATTCCGGGTTCTATTGAGGACTAAGGTAGTTCCCTCGGTAGTTGTACGTCACACTACACAGGAATCCGAGGGCCTGAATGAATCTGGTCATCGTTTTCACAAATCAACCTACAAGCCCTTATAATTTTTGGTCACAAATCACATGGCGGCTAAGATTTAGTTGCAGAGCAGACCCCTTTGTTTATAGTTAAAACAGAGCCTTGTCAACGCAGCTTAATCAATGAAAAAGGAACATCGAAACAGGTGCAGAACACAAAAAAGAACCGTCAAACAGATCAACAAATGGCAATAACTAACCACCTTGTTTGTTCATCGCTAATGAAAAGTAAGATTCGTAAAACCAGCTGCATTTTTCTGGAATACAACTTACGGATGCGTTCAAGTGAAGGCGAGATGATAAAGTAACTTAATGGTGTATTTGGTGTAATCAGCAAACACGCATGTTGACGGTTGCACACGTTTGCTACAAAATGGGGCCGAAAGCGGTTTATCAGTAGCCATCTGACGTACCCCGACACCCAACCACTGACTTTAAAGGGCCATTGTGCCTGACCACTCAGTTAGCATGATACCGGTCCACTGTCCAGGCAGAATGACTCACGATAAACAAAATTCTGGTTTGAACAGCGCCTCTAGCCCCTACGCGGCCGATTGCGACTTCTAAGACAATAAGAAGCCTGAACAGTTGAACAGCACCATTATCATGGCCGTTAGGTTTCAAGGGTAATCCCACCTGTCGCACCAACCGGAATCGACTCATATACCAGTCAAAGTTGGTCTGAAACTACAGCTGCTTCAAAAAGACGATAGAACATTAACCTGGTTATAGCACATATATCGGCCATCGCCCTATCAATTCACTGATAAGATATCTCCGACAAGGCATTATGAACAACACAGTGAACGACACAAGCTGCATCACAACAAAAGAAGACTCTACTAGTTCGCTGAAAAATCAATCCCCACAGGCGTCTAAATCGGAAGAACTCGAGATAAGGTAATTTCAGGTTCGACAGTCTGGACAAAAGCAACGGAAAACCCAAGTGTGGATCACAAAAGGTTCAGATTGACATTGAGCCCTCACGTCGAATCGTTTGTTAGAATCGACATGATCGGTTTTCGACATTCCAGAAAGAAGCAACAACTAAGTCCGACCGAATGTTTCTTAGCACCAAGCCATTCGGTTTTCGACATACCAGAAAGAAGCAACGACTAAGTCCAACCGAATGTTTCTTAGCACCAAGCCACGTGAGCACACAGGTGACGAGGTGCTTCGTCTGAAGGCATCTATCGGGTGAAAATTAATCCGACGGTCTGTGGGATAGAATGCAGTAATCCAGCAGATGAAGTGGCCCGATATGAGGCACATACGGTAGGCTGAGTTGACAACCGCAGAAACGTACCGTGCCATCGAGCAAACCATTTTAAAAGGGTCTCTCTTTCAAGTCATAAAAAGGCGGACTAGAGTAACCAAAACCGTCAGAATAGTCGATGGTGTCAAAAGGTATGAGTATCGAAAGTGTGCTGAGAAGCGTAGTCAGTAAGGCATTCAGGAGCAATGAACGCAGTACCATCATTAACCTACAGCCGAGGATTCACGCGCAGCTGCACAAACCATGCAGACCATGCTTCAGCTTTTTGCCTGAAGTCATGCGCCTCAAACAAGTAACAAAATAAAAAAAACTGTCGTTTGTAGCATGCAATCAGCTGCCATATACAAGGGACGCAAAGGGGAAACCAACCAACTTGTCCTAAAATACAGGAATCGTATTTAACGGTAAATGAAAGGGAACAGTTAACTGGCAGTGAACATCATCATCATTATCATCATCATGGACACCACGCTAGTATTCAGCACCGATGCTTCGTTGTCGTACAAGCACGATTAATCAAGCAACGGACGGCATGAGATTGTCTGTAAGTGTGCAGTTCACGGTTGTACATGGGCTGGGATACTGCCAGGGTGCCCAAACCTAGATAGGAGAACGATTAGGGCCCGCAGTTGGTTCAAAAGCCTGACCACAAGACAGCGTTTGGCGGTGTTTTCATGTGCACCACCATTTTTATAAAACAAGTCTCCATACATGTTTCGACCCCCAACCTGGAAGGTGGACTACATTAGTCATACCTCATACCATTGAGAAACCTGGGTTGAGGCTCCGCAAGTGTGGCATGGGCAACCCCAATATAGCTCACTGGGTCACGAAGGGACATAAACCGTTACTCTAGGGTAGAATCCAGCCTGTTCGTGAGGGCAGTGATGTTCGGTATTGTGCTAGGTTCTCGCCACTCAGATAGGAAAGTTAGAATACAATACAAGGAGTCGAATCACACTCTAAGAATGGAATGGATCCGGATAGTCTTACCAAACACAACTGCTCTTTTCAACATGCAAGGCTCTGGTCGCGTTTGCTAATTTGAGACACTATGGCGTCAGAATGGTTTAACCCTGAATTTCAAGGGACGTGTGTATTAAGCAACAGTGCGGGCTTTTTTGTTGCATGGCTGTAAGACTTGGCCTATTCGAGCAGCGGAACTGAGACGTCTTCAAGTGTTCGACAATCGTTGTCTCAGAACCATAGCTCGTGTGGGTTGGTGTCGGGGAATTTGCAACGAGGCAGTTAGAAAGCGCGTTTTCGGTTGTGCAACGGGTACCCCCATTGAAGAATCTGCTCAGGACCAGATGATGCGTGGTTGGGAGAATGTGTTGCGTATGCCGAACCATCGTTTCCTGAAAAGTGCTGTTTTCCATGCCCAATTTAGAGTGGCGTAAACAGAGAAGTGGCCAACCCTCGACTTGGCAGAGGAGCATGCAGGAGATCACGAAACGCTTGGGTGCTGTTGGTGCTACTCGCCTTCCAGGATGGGGACCGCGTGATGCTCACTGTGCCTGGTTGGAGACACTACAAGATATGGCTACCAACCGATGTCAGTGACGTTCTTGTTGTCAGTTTCTATCCAGATTGCCTGAGTGAGTGTCTGGAGGTATAGGTACCTCGGAATGATTGTGGTAAGCTAGCACTAAGTCCCTTCCCTGTCCACCTTTACTCTTTTTTTTACAATAGGGCTTTCAAATAAATCATGGTTGTACGGCAGTGAAGCATCGGTGTTGAACACTGATGTCATGCTGCCGACGAAGATGATAATTTTCAGCATGCCCGGGTGAGAGGAGCGAGCTGGAGGAAAATAGAGTTTTGTATTTTCAGACCAATCAAACATCGTCGTAGCTTGTTCAGGAAACGTGTCCGTTTTTCAACAAACGTCTCCTGTAGGTGAAAATTGGCTTTCAGGATCCAAAGAGTGATTTCCTTGTTGATGTGCCAAAATTACAGTTTATTTGAAAATCGTGTGAGTGTACTGATGTGGCGATTTTTGCCACGTTGCATAGCGTCCGAGTCAACACAGAAAATGTTAATCATGAAGGCACGAGTGATAAGGCATAGACTCTAAATCAAAAGAGGTTAAACCAGTGAGCTCACCCTGCTTTGACTTCGATACCGACGGACCGGAACCCGTCGTAGTGCGACGGTTTGTGTAGCTCGGTGGGAAACTGAAGCTTGCAAAAAGTTTGATTTCCCCTATTCTCCTTTATTAATCAAGTGCAACTGTAGTGAAAGTTACGCTTTACTGCTATTTCCATTAATTCACTTCCACTTGTCATTTCAGCCTATACTGTGCTTATATGTTGAATAAAGCCTATCCTTAGGCGAAGTCTTCTCATTCTACTCAACGGATCAATAATCGATTAACTAAGTCATCGACTCCCACTACAAGTTATTCAACATACTATTTCTCATCCATGGAACGCTCAACCAGCCAGATTTGACGCGGATCCATACGCTCCTGATGCAACCGACCAATGGACTCACTGGTATCGTACATTCTCCCATTTTTTATCTTGTATTGAGACGCATAATCCGGACAAACTTGAACTTTTGATCAATTATCTTTCTCCTTCTGTCTATAAATCCGTTTCTGAGTGCACCACTTTCAAAGAAGCTGTCGATACTCTTTGTTCAATCTATGCCCCCACCAAAAGCGAAATTTTCGCTCGACACGTTCTTCACACATGCAAACAAGACAATGAGCAAACACTCGATCAGTATGTGCAAAAGTTACGGACGTTAGCTGTTGATTGTAATTATCAAAGTGTGATAGGCGATGTACGTCGTGACGAAGCTATCAGGGACGCATTTATATCGGGCATTCAGTCTACTCAAATCCGCCAGAGGTTGTTGGAGCACCATACGTTGACGCTACGTGAAACCGTAGAAAAATCTAAAGCATTAGAATCGGCATACAAACAGGCATTGTCGTATCAAGTACCCATCTCATCCAACCCTTGCAACGCTGCTCCACAAAGTGGCTTAATTCAAGATACAGCCCAGTCAGAAGATACAATCCTGGTTTCTGCGGTAACTAATAAATGTTTCTTTTGTGGCTATAGCCGACATCCGCGAACAGCCTGTCCCGCCAGAGATGCCATATGCAAGCTGTGTGGTAAAAAGGGTCACTTTCAGTCAGTTTGTCGTTCCAAACAGAAAATCAAGCCACAGACGGCGACTACTCAATCTTTGTTGTCGGCGCTTACTGTTGCGTCTGCTCCCGTATGCCTACAACGAGCGATTAGCCATGTTCATGTTAACGGTGTCCGTCTCCAAGCCCTAGTCGATACTGGTAGTTCTGAGAGTTATATCTCAGCATCAGTCGTCAATAAGTATAGCTGGCGAGTACTTGAATCAAGAAGCAAAATCTCTATGGCTAACACATCTTTTGTGAGTGATACCCTTGGACATTGTCTGGTGCACCTACAGCTAAAAGACTTCGATTACAAAAATGTCAGGCTATCCGTTCTGCCGCATCTATGTGCTGATGTGTTGCTCGGTCACGACTTCCTCAACCTGCACGAGGGATTAGAAATACCATTCGGCGGTTCCCGACCACCTGTTTCCCTTTGCAATTTGACAGCTGCTAAGGTTCCTGAACCGACTTTGTTCCAGAATCTATCACCAATGTGTAAACCTGTCGCGACAAAAACCAGACGTCAGTCTTTTCCTGATCAACTTTTTATTCGCAAGGAAATAAATACCCTGTTGCGTGATGGAGTTATAGAGCCATCAACGTCACCATGGCGCGCTCAAGTCTTGGTCACAACCAACGAGCGTCACAAGAAACGAATGGTGGTTGATTATAGTCAAACAATTAACCGTTATACGTATCTGGACGCGTATCCACTCCCACGCATCGATGAAATGATAGAAAAGATCGCTTGTTATGAATTATACAGCACACTCGACCTACGCAGTGCCTATCATCAAATTCCTATCCGCGCCGACGAACGTAAATATACTGCTTTCGAGGCTGATGGCAATTTGTACCAATTTTGTCGGATACCCTTCGGTGTGACGAACGGCGTTGCTTGTTTCCAACGCACAATTAATGAAATCATTGCCAAAGAGAAACTGGCTGACACTTTTGCATATATAGACAATGTCACTATATGTGGTAAGTCTATGGAAGAACATGATGCTAATTTAGCCAAGTTCAAAGAAGTGGCGCGGCGTTTCGGACTCATTTTCAATGAAGCAAAGAGTACAATCTGTACAAGAACTGTACGGTTGTTAGGTTATGAAGTATCTAAAGGTACTATCAAACCAGACCCCGATAGATTGCAACCACTCCGCAATCTTCCGCTACCCAGTAACCAAAAATCCCAACAGCGAGCGATCGGGTTGTTTTCATACTATTCGCACTGGATATCACATTTTTCTGATAAAATTTATCCACTCGTGCACAACCAAATATTTCCTCTACCTGAATCGGTGAAAACGGCGTTTCACGTACTGAAATCGGAACTGGCTAACGCCCTGGTTGTTTCTATCGACTACACACAACCGTTGGTAGTCGAGACAGATGCGTCTGATGTGGCAATCGCAGCCACCCTAAATCAAAACGGAAGACCAGTGGCCTTTTTCTCCAGAACACTGTCTCCATCTGAGCAACGCCATTCCGCTGTTGAAAAGGAGGCGTATGCAGTAGTTGAATCTATACGAAAATGGCGACATTACCTCATTGGTAATCACTTCAAGTTGATAACGGATCAATGATCTGTTGCCTTTATGTATGATACTAACCATAAAGGTAAAGTTAAAAAATGATAAGATACTACGGTGGCACATCGAACTTTCTCCCTTCAGTTATGATGTCGTTTATCGTCCGGGCAAAGAGAATCAAGCTGCCGACGCACTATCCCGCCAGTTTTGTAGCTCCGTGTCTAATTCTTCCGAACTGCTGACCATACATACCTCGTTATGCCACCCCGGAGTCCGAAGAATGTTTCACTTTGTCAGATCGAAAAATCTCCCATATTCGTTGAACGAAGTTAGGGCCGTTGGCGCACAGTGCAGGGTATGTGCGCAAATAAAACCTCGGTTTCATCGTCATATACAGGGAAAACTAATAAAGGCTACCCGGCCGTTTGAACGCCTGAACATCGACTTTAAAGGACCTTTACCTTCGGTTACTCGTAACAAATATCTGCTAACGATCATAGATGAGTATTCGCGATTCCCATTTGCTTTCGCTTGTCCGGATATGAAAGCATCGACACTCATCAGTTGTTTATGTCAACTGTTTTCAATATTCGGTATGCCAGCCTATATTCACTCGGACCGAGGCCCTTCATTCATGTCCGTCGAACTCAAAGAATTTCTGCATAGCAGGCATATAGCTACCAGCAGAACCACTCCCTATAACCCCCAGGGCAACGGACAAGTGGAACGGCTAAACGGAACGCTTTGGAAAGCTATCACACTCGGTCTAACATCTCGTAATCTCGACGTTGGACATTGGGAACATATGCTCATCGATGCTCTGCATGCCATTCGGTCGTTACTCTGTACGGCTACTAATTCAACGCCACATGAGAGAATGTTTGTTCACGAGCGTCGATCATCGTACGGACCATCTCTGCCTAGCTGGCTAACATCACCAGGTCCTGTCCTTGTGAAGTCGTTTGACCGCACATCAAAATATGACCCAATTGTGGAAGAAGCGACGTTACTAGAATGCAATCCTGAGTATGCCCATATTCGGCTCAAAGACGGTAGGGACCAAACAGTTTCCATCCGTCAACTCGCACCCGCAGGTGGCGATAGGGGATCAGAAAATGTTCAGCTCGAGTCTCAAATGTTATCGGATGATAACAACAGTGAAGGAAATGCTGGAATATTACCAGAGATTCGAAACAGACCGAAAACGAGCATATCAGAAAATGCTCAGAATCTTCTGATGCAACAGCAACGCACTCGTCCCTACAATTTACGTAGCCGCGAAGTCTAGATCAGGTGTTACAAACTTTCTTGCGTCCACGACGAAACGTTATTTCAGTGTTCCATTCAGACCCTCAAAATACTAAAAATTACTTTAACCATTTTCAATTGTTCATCCGCACTACGTTCATTTTCTGTTACCAACAACACATTTCTGTTAGGTTCAACTGACATTTTGCCTGCCGGAGTGAATGTAGTGAAAGTTACGCTTTACTGCTATTTCCATTAATTCACTTTCACTTGTCATTTCAGCCTATACTGTGCTTATATGTTGAATAAAGCCTATCCTTAGGCGAAGTCTTCTCATTCTACTCAACGGATCAATAATCGATTAACTAAGTCATCGACTCCCACTACAGTAATATTACAGGAAGTGTTGCAAACTTATGGGAGGGGCATCCATAGTCAACGTAAATTCGACAACAAAAGCAACGTGCCAGCCAGGTCTCAAAGTCCAGTTCCGTCAGTAACAAAATAATATTTCAGCTGTGACATCCTTCCGGTACCTAAACGCCAGGCCATCAGAAGGAAGTCCGGGAGCTGATACTACCAGTTTTCCTAAGCCTAGACAAGAGCAGTCACGAAGCCATTGGTGGTTGGAAATCACGGACCTCTCGGTAAGTTGGAATCTCAACCACTGGGATATCCGGAGTGTGGTCTTTTGATCTTGGATCGAAGACAAGTTTGAGACAGCATGAGACAGCACCATGAATAAAAACTAGTTCCAGAAGGTTATCAGAAGATAAACTTATTGTTGCACAGCTCTAAAACTGTTAAAGCCTGCATGTCTTTCTATCCAGTTTTGTAACACTGATTCGGATATCCATCCACAACATACATCAAAGACCAAACAACAATGCTTCGTAATTTGAAAGCCGTATTCTGAAGAAAAGAACAAAACTCAATGGAGAAGGGACTCAGTGGTAGTCTATCACAATCATTCGAAGTGCCTACATCTGCAGACTCGGGATGGAAATTGACAACACAAACGCCATTGACATCGTCTGAAAGCCATATCTTGCAGCGTCTCTAGCCATGCACAAGAGGAATCAAGGAGACATCATCCCGTAGGCCGAGTCGCATCGACAGGCTTTTCGTAGTATCTTCCCTACCCATCTGTCGGGTCAAAGGTTAACCACACCTCAGGAGAATTGAACTTGCGAACAAAAGCGTGCTCGCCAAAGAGGATAAAAATGACTTACCTAGTTGTTTGCAGGCAGCCTCCACTTCTGATAAGCTTCGTGCGACGATGAACTTTGGAACCGGAATGTCGTATTTTTGTAGAAGTTCCATGGCGGTATATTCGTGGATCTTGAGGCCTCTGACTGGCTGCACCTATAAGGTATATTAAAGTGTAACCGTTGCCACATACATGTTTAAATAATTTAGGTAAGGCCAAACCGAGCTTCCGGACGATCATACGTACGGTGAGCAATCAGCTCAACTGCACAGGAAAAATAGGTTCAAGTTGTTCAATGGGTGCGCAAACGAGCTGGAAGTCGGGTGCTGGTAGATTCCTATCAGAAAGTATTCCCGGAAGAGTGGCTGAAAGCAGAACAAACAGCTGCCCTTAACCAGTGGCAGTGGTATGTATGACGTGGATACTAGTATGTAACGCAAAACAAATAAATATGACGCTTTAAGCCGCAAACAGACCTATGTTTGGAGTTGGGGGTATTAACAAGGTACCGTAGGTCAACTTCCGATGAAGTTGGACAGATAAGTGTGCGAATTTAGTGAGGGGGAGCTAAGTAAGTAGGTACGAAACGGAAACGATGCATAAGGAAGACGTGGGCTGGTGGACACTACAACCAGAGTAATTATTCCGGATTAAGAGGACTGTGAGAGGATGTGGGTGGAATGACGCGGCTGATGGTGTAATTAAAAGATGCTGAAATTATTGTAAACGAACAGCAACAGCACGGAGGACAGAGGCATCGTCAATAGGGAATTGTTGGGAGGTTATTGGATAAATGGACGTGGGTAATGCGAGGAAAGTTGCCGATTGCAATAAAAACGGATAAGTCCCAAGACAGCACTTGTGAAAGGGAATTTCGAGGGAAATACCCCGAAAAACAGTCGGTCCAGATTTAGTTTGACGCCGTGCACAATCACGGCTAAGATGATTATCCCTGGAATTCTGCTCTGTAATCACAGTCGAGGAAAAATAAGGAGCCTGGATTGGATAAGCCTTCTACGGAACAGAGCTGGTGGCCATGGAGTTTATGGTTGTTGACTGCGACTGTTAGGCGCAACTCTATATGGACACCGCTTTACGAAAATCACTATTACCACAACTTTTCGATTTTCTATTTTCCTCACCTATGAGGAGTTCATGAAAGGCTTCGTAGGATTTTAATAAAATATAACCTTACTTTGGTTCATGTGCACCGAAACAGCGTTTTTCACTGTTTTTTCCAGTTGCACTCTGCCTTTGCCTAAGGTGTGACGTTTTTTAAATATAAGCCCCGGTGATTAATCACCGTGTAAATTTACACGGTTTCTACATACATGTGATGCGAGTGTTGTTGACGCAAATCTGTGATGCCTAATGCACCATCGCAAATGAGGTGTTTATCGTGTAGTTCTAGTTGGTATGAGACGAACCAACAAAAGACTGCCTACGAGGTTGTGCTAATAGCATCAGCCCCGCTTTACTATCGGCAGTTATGTGCTCCTGCGGCCAAGTACCCATTCTGGACGCGATTGGCCAGAAGACTGGGCCACTTGCCAGTTCACAATCCGGGCGGGCTATGATTGGTCGAAGATTTGAAATTATTGAACCACAGGAGAAATACTTTCGCCCCGCATGTCCGCGCAAAGTAAAAATGGGGCAGCCGCTCACGAGGGGAGTTGAAAAATGCCTTCTATGTTTGCAGTAATCGTCCCGCCAAACAAAGCCGGGGAAATCAACACAGCTAGGAAGTCTTTTTGTTTTTTTTTGTGATGTTCAACACGCGCTGTATCGGGATCACGGCAATGTTTTATCTTCACCGTTATGCTGAACTCTTAATAGTGTCGATGGGGAATTAGTGAGCTTCTGGGCAGAAATAGCCGATGGTGCAATGGGATCGCCAGTTTTTCTAAGTTCTGGTGCAAATTCAACGGATTGGGACGGCCTTGTGGATGCGTGTAACACACTCGGTCGGGTAATATTAGGGATACGAACTATGGGCAAGCGATCAGACCGGGTATGGCCGTCGCTGTGCCGGCATCGAGGCATCGTGCTTGGGTTCACGGACTGCCCCGCGTATGAAGGCCTTCAGAAGTCAGTTGAGTTTCTCATATTTGTTAGAATTGCCCAGGGAATCGTAACAAATTAGGATCAATCTTGATCGGTAATAATCTATGGATCATCGAGTGCGCACAGTGGTTCATTTCTCTCATTCAAACAAAGCGATAAGTCGCCGTGTCTGCATTCGGGGTCAAAAGTAAGGAAGTGTCAAAATGGCTATAGAGAGCATTCATGTACGAGTCATACCGCGGCCCAAAATAGTGGGAAGCAAGAAGTAGTCAGCATTTCTAACTAATGCGATTTGGCGACACTTCCCAATCTGAAAAATAGTAATCAATATTCAGGTTGATGCCAACGGGTTTGGGCATGTGCGAACATGAGAGACCTTCGTCGGCTAAATTGTGTGCAACGAGCATAGGTCGGAGCGTGCAGGCAAAAGGTGTCTAACTCAGTATGACCTGCACGGAAAATGGCTGATTTTATCCCGGGCGCCGACCAGTTACCCAGTGCGCTTCGGTTACGCCACACCTAATATGGATTCGTATCTTGGTGCGGTGCTACCATGTTCTAGCCTCTCCCTTGATAGCTATAACAGCTCGCATAGGTGGGTTGTTAACGACGAAGGCTCTGTCAATATCCATCAACTAACTTCCATACATTGATGAAAGCCTGATGCCATTGGCTCCGGTTCTCCGTTTCTGTCCTTGATAGCTATAACGGCTGGCATAGGTGTTGTCAACGACGAAAGCTCCGTCAGTATCCATCAACTAACTTCCATACATTGATGAAAGCCTGATGCCATTGGCTTCGGAGATGCATCCTATTGAACCGTCCAGTCATAAATAGGTTTTGCAGCCTGAGCGGGTTTTTACTAACAGGCCCCGGTTTGCTAATTTTGTTTGGGACCCGCCCATCTAAAAGCGCATACGCTGTCACCTTCCCTGCATGAGTGTCAAGCTTGGAAGGAATAGCTATCACGCGTGCTGGAACCCGACCATATCGGGTTGAGGCACAGAACACATCCTAATGTGAAGCTGCCCCTTCTTTGTTTCCGGGTTTCAGTGCATGAGAAATCATGTGGTGTCATTCTTTGCAACCCAAATGCCCGTAGTAAACGACCAACTTGCAACCTCTAGCCATATTCAGTCTCTCAAGCAAAGAAAGCGTGCATTATGCTCTCACGCGCGCCTCCAGCTATCAGGAACTTTCATTGAGAGGGAGTGCCTGCGGCCGGAAAACGGTGAGGCTGTGGAAAATATTGTGCCGGGCCTTAGACTATTGTCTTTGCCAGCCCACATGGTGGAACCATCCCGTCTAGGTAGAATTTAACGAAACAAGGGGCGTCTTACGCCCAATTTCTTGAGCCAGGTCACCAAAGCAACTTTCCGCGATCCCGAGGCGCATGTAAACAAACTCCACTTATTTCAAGAACGCTTGATCCTGGCCGGTCAACGATGTTTCATTCAACGCATCAAGCCACCCGTTTTGCAATGATGAGGGAAAAGAACGCACTGTTCTCTCTATAACGGCAAGGAAGTGCATCTGCGTTAGCATAAACTCAACTTCGTATTTTAATGCACGCGTCCGACAGGGACTTGGCTGTTCTAGTGGTCTGTTGCCAATCAAAACGGGCTTCCAAGTAGAGAGCGAGCAATAATATAAAGGTGACAAGAACGATTGCGTAGATTCCCCTGGGACCCGGAGTATGCTACCTCGGGCGGGAGCATCACACATCCTTGCGTTGCCTTGAGACTAGTGGACCACATACACGAGCCCCTGACCGGCGCCCTTTGCTTTGTTCTCTAGTAATGATTTGGAATACCACTAAAGTATGATAAATCTATCTTATGTAGTTCCACGGCGGTGCGCACTTGAATAAGGGAAATGGTCATTTTTTGGTCCTGCAGGTGACCACTTAGCATCACCAGCATATTCTTGAGTTCTTTCATATATCCTACAGGGTTTCAGGTACTGCGTTTGACGGTCAGTTGAAGATACTGTTTCCCAGGCTTCCTCTGGTTCCAAACGTTGGCATGTTCACTTTAAAAAAGTGTAAAATATCGAGCACTGTAACAACCAAAGGGTATCTTTGAATGACGCATAATACCAGAACACCTGGGAAGGCGAAATAATGTCGCAGCTGGGCTTCTGTACAGTATTAATAACGTGGGGCATTAATTCACTAAGTACACAACGCTCGACAGTAGATAATAGCCAAAAAGTTCCACCCGGACTACATAGCACAAATCAAATTAGCAAACCGGCCCCAACGCGTGCCAGTCGCCAGCGGCTAGACGCACAATGTATTTTTCTGCAAAACCCCTGCAGCCGAAATAAAAACTTTAACGTCAAAATGTTGCACTTCTTTGCATATATGCGTAGACTGAAAACCCCCTCATCTACCGTCATTTCTTTGCGATTTGTTTTAATCGATGTCATTTGAAAATTATTGGCGCACATTCGGCTTTAACTTCGTCTGCTACGGCTTTGGAAGTGGCTTTCGTTGAGAAATTTGCGGGTGTATCGTTTTCATCCTTCACGGCATTTGAGAAGACTTTAAATGAATACATGAAGGATAACTTTGTGATATTTGTGCGTTCATCCAGTGATCGAAGCACCAACACTATTTTGCGTTACGAATGGGTGTACTACAAATGCAGCAGGCGCCATCCAATAAAATCGGAAAGCCGTGGAATCCGAAGAAGACAGTAAGCCGAGCGTAATTTCTAATGAAAAAGGTACGCGAAGCACCAGCTGTCCAGTGCGGTGTTGTCTACGGAGGCAAAGGAACCAACTGGCAGTGACCTCTTATTTTCTGGAACACAACCACAAGCCGTCAAAGTTTCTGTACGATCGGCTTCCAGTCAATCGACGCCTAACCGAAGACGAGTTGGGCACATGCAAGGCCCTGCTGTGATATGGAACGCCGTCATCTGAGGTGCGGCAGTTTGTGGCGGATGAATTCGGAAAGATTCTTACAACTAAGGATGTACACAACTACCGCCGGAAGTGTCGACCGGC